TGATCATATCAATAGATGCGGAAAAAGCTTTCAATAAGGTACAACACCCATTTATGATAAAAACACTCAGCAAAGTGGGAATACAGGGAGCATTTCTCAAAATAATAAAGGCCATATATAAGAGACCTACAGCCAATATCATACTCAATGAGCAAAAACTAAAAGCTTTTCCACTAAGATCAGGAACAAGACAAGGATGTCCACTTTCACCACTTCTATTCAGTATAGTATTGGAAGTTTTAGCCACAGTGATCATGCAACAAAAGGAAATAAAAGGCATCCAAATAGGAAAGGAGGAAGCAAAACTGTCACTGTTTGCAGATGACATGATAGTGTACATGGAAAATCCTATAGACTCTACCCAAAAACTGCTCAAACTAATTAATGAGTTTGGCAAAACAGCTGGTTACAAAGTCAATATCCAGAAATCAAAGGCATTTTTGTATACCAACAGTGAATCAGCAGAAGCAGAAATAAAGAAAAAAATCCCATTTGATATAGCAAAAAGAAAAATAAAATATCTGGGAATAAACCTAACTAAGGAGGTAGAAAACCTGTATGCAGAAAACTACACAGCCCTGAAGAACAAAATCAAGGAAGACACAAACAAATGGAAACATATACCTTGTTCATGGATTGGAAGAATTAACATCATCAAAATGTCCATACTACCCAAAGCAATATACAGATTCAATGCAATACCTATTAAAGTACCAATGGCATATTTCACAGACATAGAACAAACACTTCAAAAATTTATATGGAACCATAAACGAGCCCGAATAGCAGCTGCTCTTTTGAGAAAGAAGAACAAAGTAGGGGGGATCACAATACCTGATATCAAACTGTATTACAAGGCCACTGTAATCAAAACAGCCTGGTACTGGCATAAAAACAGGCACATAGACCAATGGAACAGAACAGAGAGCCCAGAAATCAACCCAACTCTCTACAGTCAATTAATATTCGACAAAGGGGGCAGTAACATAAAATGGAGTAAAGATAGCCTCTTCAACAAATGGTGTTGGGAGAACTGGACAGCTATATGCAAAAAAAATGAAACTTGAGCACAGACTTACACCATACACCAAAATAAATTCAAGGTGGATAAAAGACTTAAATGTAAGTCGTGACATCATTAAAGTCCTAGAGGAGAACATTGGCAAGAAAATCTCAGATATTTCCCGCAGCAACTTTTTTACTGCTATGTCCCCTAGAGCAAGGAATGTAAAGGAAAGAATAAACAAATGGGATCTCACCAAAATAAAAAGCTTCTGCATGGCTAAAGAAAACAGTATTAAATTAGCAAGACAACCAACTGTATGGGAAAACATATTTGCCAATGATACCTCAGACAAAGGTTTAATCTCCAAAATATACAAAGAACTTACATGACTCTACTCTAAGAAGACACCCAACCCAATTAAAAAATGGGAAAAGGACTTGAACGAACACTTCTGCAAGGAGGACATACAGAACATTCAGAGACACATGAAGAGATGCTCAATACCGTTAGCTATCAGAGAGATGCAAATCAAAACCACAATGAGATACCACTTTACACCAGTCAGGATGGCTATCATAAACAAAGCAACAAATAACAAATGTTGGAGAGGTTGTGGGGAAAAGGGGTCCTTAGTTCACTGTTGGTGGGATTGCAGACTGGTACAACCATTATGGAAAACAGTATGGAATTTTCTCAGAAAAATAAAAATCGACCTGCCTTTTGACCCAGCAATTCCACTGCTGGGATTATATCCTAAGAATCCTAAAACATCAATATCAAAGAACCTATGCACCACAATGTTCATAGCAGCACAATTTACAATAGCCAAGAGTTGGAAGCAACCTAGGTGCCCATCAGTAAATGAATGAATCAAAAAATTGTGGTACATATACACAATGGAATTCTATGCAGCAGAGAGAAAGAAGGAGCTACTACCTTTTGCAACAACATGGATGGAACTGGAAAGCATTATGCTGAGTGAAATAGGCCAGGTGCTGGAAGACAAATACCATATGATCTCACCTTTAACAGGAAGCTAAACAACAAAACAAACAAGCAAGCAGAAAAAAAAAAAGACACTGAAATAGAGAACAAGGGGATAGTGACCAGAGGGGAGAAGGAAGGGAAGTTAAGGGGAAAAAGGGGGAGGGATTTGGAGGAACAAATAGGAAGGACACAGGGACGAGAACTAAGGGGGGTGGAAATGGGAGGGAGGTGGGGAGCAAGGGGCAGGGGAGGCTGGGATGGGAAAAATAGACAAAAAACTGTACTTGAAAAATAACTAAATAAAATTAATTAAAAATAATTAAAATTCAAAAGTTTAAAGACAAAGCGAGAATCTTAAAAGCAGCAAGAGAAAAGCAGTTAGTTATCTACGAAGGGGCTCCCATAAGACTGTCAGCTAATTTCTCAATAGAAACTTTGCGAGCCAGGAAAAATTGGCAAGAAATATTCAAAGTCATGAAAAGCAGGGACCTACAGCCAAGATTATTCTACCCAGCAAAGCTGTCATTTAGAATTGAAGGCCTGATAAAGAGCTTCCCAGACAAGAAAAAGCTAAAGGAGCTCATCATCACCAAACCAGTATCACATGAAATGTTAAAGGGTTTTCTTTAAGGAGAAGAAGAAAAAAATTAAAATATGGACAATAAAATGGCAATAAATACATATGTTTCAACAAATGGATCTAAAAATAATAAATAAACAAGCAAAACAGAAACAGACTCATAGACACAGAGAATATTTTGACAGCTCCCAGATGGGAAGGTAGTTGGGAGAAAGATTAAAAAGGTGAAGGGATTAAGAAGTACAAATTGGTTGTTATAGCATAGTCATGGGGATGTAAAGTACAGCCTTGAGAATATAGTTAATAATATACTAATAGTTATACATGGTGTCAAATGGGTACTAGATTTATTGGGATGGTTACTTAGTAAGTTATATAATGTCTAATCACTAGGGTGTTCACCTGAAACTAATATAATATTGTATGTCAACTGTAGTTGAAAAACAAAAGTGATTTAAATTAAAAAAGGAAGAAAATAGTTTCTCATTAGGGTAAGTTAAGAATTAATAAGAGGGTTTACTTTTAGCATAATGAGGCCTCTCTGCAGATGCTTAAATGGTTGAAGTCTCCTATCACTGGGCATTTTGTTTCTGCCAATTTTTCTTTTTTCCAGAAAGCCTTATCCTCATTCCTTGCCTGTGCTGGAGATCTGTAGTAAAACCTCCACGACAGTATCTCCCTTTTACTCTTCTCTTTTCCTCCTCACCCACGCATGGATGATATTTTGTTCTTGCTCTTATGGATGTCTACACTCATGACAAACAGCACTGTCTTGCCATCTTTGACTCTGGATCTGCTTCTTTTGAATAAACTGCAAAATTCTTCATTCATTGCCATTTTCTAATTCTTCATGATATCTGAAAGAGCATCTTTAGCTCTTCATATTAGGACCAGAATTCTACTTTGTTAATTAGTCATACCAGTCAACTGACATAGAAGGATTTCAGCCCCAAAATGTGGTTCTTGACCCTTTTTCAATTTGTTACTGAACATAAGCACTATTTTTTAAAAACTCAACTATTGTTCTCCTTAACACCTATCATAAATCAATAATACTTTGCATAGGGATCTCATGAAGTTGGCTTTACCATATCTTTTATTATGGAACAATGTTCTATGTGGTGTTATTCTCTAATTATTTCATTTGTATAAGTCTATTTGTGTATGGTCAGTTCCCTTAATTAGATTACAAACTTCTGTTTAGGGCATTCTCAGAACATTATAAGGTTAAGTCTTATATTTGTCTAGGTTATATAGGTAGTAATAGATGATTTCTGACCAATGCCTCTTCATTCTACAAGTTAGCTTTAGGACCAACACATTTATTATTTCTCTAGTGAGAAATAATATTATTTGTTAGCACTGGGGCTGTCCCTTACAGAATCCACTGGTGTAAGTCAGTGACCCATTATGGGTTCATATGCTTTACCAGTAGAGTCTGAATTTGGAAGACAGGTGGTTTCCAGTGTATCCTGGTCTCTATCTACTCAGATACACTGGAAACCCCTATAGTTTGCTTTAAATAGCTCAATTGGTTGTCTTATGGAAACTCAGTAATCATCTGAACCAAATGAAATGGAATGTGGCTTAGACTGGTTTCTCCAAATGACACCTCAGGCAGATGAACCCCTTAGTAAGTTCTCAGAAAGGTGCTCTGCTAGTTATTGTCCTCAGCTGCCACTCCAATTCAGTATAAGATTGGCAGAGGAGAAAGTGTTAATGTTCCTCTAGGATTCTAACTCCCCTCCCGCTAATGCCCCCAACAATCACACTGAGAGGTGAGGCCATTATTGCCATGGACAGTGGCCAAATGCTGCAACTGGAAGTAGAGCAATAGGGAGGCCCTAGCCCTGGAAGCAAAGCTTTTAGATAAAATGATGGAAATTCTGCTCTTGGCATCAGTTGTTTGGCTGAACACATGTGAAAATGCCCCCAGTCCCTGTATCAGGATGGAGGGACCTAGAAAGGAGTCAGGAACACTCGGGAACATATCCCAAGACAAAAATCAGGGGATTTTGGCTCTCCTGACCCAAAATCTTGGCTCTCCTGCCCCTCACCTATCACAAGACAGCTCCTCTGACACTTTTTATTGTTAAGTCAACATTTTCAATTCTTTGGGTCTGTTCACCATCAAACTCCAAGAGGGAGTGTGGAGCTACTGAGGCAGTAAGGGGAACATGAGTGGCTGTGTCTGACAAGGAAAACTGCACACTTCATCCCATGGTCTCTGGATTCTTCATCAATCAATTCATGTATTTTTGCCTTATCTCTTCTGCTAGGTAATAAACAGTTTGAACACAGGACTATGACTTAATTACCCACTGGGTTCCTAATGAAGCTCAGCATATGTTCATTATTTAACTGTTTTTATGAAGTATGCCAAATCCCATAGGGTTAAATCCTAAGGAAAATAAGATCTGTACCTACCAGGGGTCGAAGGTCAGGATGTGAGAGAATGTAGCCATTGTTAGTATTCAAAAAGGCATATCCATGTACTCCAAGCTACAAAGACAGGGGTGGAGGGAAGTCAGAGTTGTTGTTTGTGTTGGAGAACTGCAGCTGAGGAGGTGTTGGGGCTGCAGGATGGTTAAAGATGGCAGTGCACAGCAGTGAGATTTTCAGATAGGAAATAACTGAGCCAGTGCTGCACTTCCAGCCATTCATTTTGAATTTCTTTCCTAATTCTACTGTTCATAGCAGCCATAATCATGTATATCATTACCTGGCCTCTTTCCCACCATATGTTTTAGGTGCTTTGATGATAATCTCATTTGTTTCCAAAACAGAACTATAAGGCCTGGAGGAGTAGATTGAGAAACTGAGGCACCAGAAAGTGAAAGCACTTGCCCAAGGCCACAGAGCAAGTCAGATCTGGTGGTAACAAAGGGCCCCAAGTGTTCAAGCCACTGCTGCCAAGTTCAATGCCTGCATTTCTCTGGGGGTTGGGGCCCCATTACAGCTCTAGACTTGGCTGTGCTGTCTGCATAGAGGTTCCTGAGCCTGGTGGGGCAGCTCCTGGGGAGCCTGTGAGCACCACTCAGGGACCTGACCCAGGCTCACCTTGTACCGGGGTGCCAGCTTCATCAGCTCTCTCAGGGAAATGTCAGAGCCCACTACACCTAGAAGAATGCCGTGAGACCGCTGGAAAGACAAAAAAGGGTCAGGGGGAGATCTGGCCTCCCTGAACACAGGTCCAGGCTGGACCTCAGCCTTGCTAGAGCCTGGGAGAGGAAGCCCCTTAGGTCATATGTGGCCCTTCCTCTGCAGTTAGATTTTAGGCTGAGCTTGCTGAAACAAAATCAAGAACCTAGCAGGGAGGCCCCAGGAGTAATCTCAACTGCTGGGAAGGTTAATATCCAATATTAATATTTAAGTTGTATTCAAATGAAATACAAAGTTGAATGAAATATTCACCTTCATAGCAGAAGCTGAAGGATCAGAATCCCAGGATCCCTCATCTATGATCTGGAACAAACATTTCCTGACTAGATAGAGATGGAAGGCGCTAGAAATTCCCTTACCAGATGCCTTTACCAACAAGTTACAGCCTTCCCAAACTGGGAGGTTAAGTGTGTGTGGTTTTGCAGAAGGCTGGCAGGCGACCCCATTAGTCCTATATCCCCAAGACAGTGGTCCCCAAGCTGGCTGAGCAGAATCACTGGGGAGTTTTGGAAAGTCCAGACCAAACCCCAGCTCTCATTCTCCACCCACTCCCAACCAAGAGATTCTGACATAGCTAGTTGGGCACAGAGCCTTGAATCTGCATTTACAGCTCTCCTAATGCGGCTCTGATACCCAGCCGAGCCAAGAACCATTGGTCTAAAAATGCCAGTGGGGTCCCCAAGTTCTAGTCCTTGTTGCAGCTTCTCGAGAGTGGCCACTCACTGTTTCATTCTTCTTGCTGAAGACTGGCATGGACACTGTAGTGAGGAGCATCAGGCTCTGTGCATGTGAGGTAAAGAGCTGCCAGGAAGGAAAGAACAAGGGACAGAGGGCTCAGAGTCCACAGTGCAGAGGACCCACAGTCACCAACATCAACTACTGTGTCACTTTCCAACAGGAGGAGGCAATCTAAAATGAGGTTTCCTTTTTCTGTAAAGGGAGAGCTGGCAGAAAGGCTGGAGGGGAGAGGCCAGGGAGACAAACCAGGCCAATGACACTTAGCAAGGAAAGTTCTGAGCCAGGGCAAGTCTCCGAATCCCAGAGCCCACAGCCCTGCTCCCAAGCATGCTCACTAAGCCCTCTTGTCTTGGATGAGCACGGACCCATGGAATAGTCCCATCCTGGGCATGCCCAGAAAAAAGAGGTGAGCATAGCAAGAGCTCTTCTAAAAATATCTGCCTTAGACCCAAGATTGGCACAAACTATAGCCCAGACTAGGTAAGAGGGAAAGGGACATTGATGCAGAGCCACTGGCAAACACAAGCACATGGAGAGGGGCCACAGTGTGAGAGCTGGCCATGATGTGGTTGTAGTAGCTTCCAGTCACCATCACCCCCTTCACACACACACACACACACACACACACACACACACACACACACACACACACAATGAGCCCACAGCCTCCTCCCCACTCAGAACGCCTGAGCCACATCATTCCCAGCCTCTAAGATGGCCTTCCTCCTTACTCCTCATCTCACTGTGCTGGCTCCTCCGGTCCCCTTGGCAGAGGCTCCACATATGTTCCCGCTTTACCATGAAGATAGATCCTGAGAATTAGTGTGTGCAGTGTGTCTGACAGGTCTGACTTTTCTTAGTTAACTAAAGGACTTTGCCCAGCCATGGAGGTCTACAGTAGACCTCAGAGAATGAAGAACTTTGAACTATCAGGTACCCTCCCCCTTCCTCATCAGATTTTTCAATTTAGAGTTTAGAGGTAAAGTTTTCTAAAAGTGAATAGCTTCTGTTAACTAGTTTCACTACCCACTTGGAGCAAGAGATCCATAGGGATGGCCAAAGGGACAGCAGGAAAGGGTCTGATCCCTGGTGACCAGGGAGCTCCTTATCGGCTCTGGGCCAGCTGTTGCTCTTACATGAGGGAAAACCACACTTTTATCTAAGTAACTACTCCCAGGTCTCTCTTAATCCCAATATGATGCATCATCTTTGTGTAAATCATTGCTGCCTACAGGCAGGGGTGGGAGGGGGTCACTTGATGAAGCTATAATCTTCAATTACTGGTCAGATTCCTTTTTTTAAAAAAAGTAATGGGGCAGGGAAGAGGATAATGAAGGAGGTGAGAACAATGGGAAGAAGGGTGAACAAGTTTGGAACAGAGGGGTTCTGTCCACAAAGGGCCACCCTGGACAGGTCAACTCACAGGGTGTCTGGGCCTTCAGGGCAGCACTCAGGTGGTAGGTCTGCTGGTGGGGGACAGTGCTCACCCCCTTCACATTTCCCAAGGATGTGATTGCTTTCCCCATTCCTCACCCAAGAAGTCACCTCTTATAACCTGGGGCCCTTAACTCTGGAGTGGGGTCAGGGTCTCACCTTGCTGTCCATGTAGGCTTCAGTCCAGATGATGTCGTGGTCATGGTTGATGACCATGGGGCGGCTGAGAACGTGGAGGTACTTCATCACATTCTCCTGAGTGTCAGCCAGTGTGGAGATCTGAGTGTAGTAGCCTGGAGGAGGGGATAGGCCATGTGAGTTGTAGAATGCTGGATGCTCCACATGAAACCCCTTTGCAGGGCCCGCACTCTCTCCATCTTGTGGCTGGGGTACTGGGAACTGCTTTCTCCAAGGTTGTTCCTTTTCTGGGGGGGGGCAGCCATGGACCAGTGATGCTGATGGGGATCCAAAGGCTCAGACTCTGCCTCAACTTGAGAGAACTGTGAGGGCCCTTCCAGCTCCAGAGCTGCCACAGAAGCTGCAGAGCCCCAAATGCAAGGGCCTTTGGGTCAGTCTCCCCCTCTCGCAATGCTGCTCTCCTTCCCTTCTTATAAGGGGATCCCCTTTTGCATGCAACTCTGTCCCAGGGTCTGTTTTCAGGGATAGGCTGTGAGGTGCTCTGCCACCTACCTTTGTTGTTGCATGCAATCCACTTCATGCGGTCTGCAAAAGTGACTTCTCTCCCAATAAGGTAAGTGAAAACTCGAACCTGTTCCACAAGACACGGACAGACTCAGCAGCCATAATTCCTGGCAGTGAGTAATGTTAACACAATTTATGTGAGTCCTTGATGTCTGTCAAGTGCTTTGCCCACTTTAGCTCCTCCATTCTCACTCCTTTGGATCAGAAAGGTCCCTGGGGCCCAGGCCATACTGGGACTGGCCAGGGCAGTTTTCCTGTCTCACCATAATACTCAGGTCTCTCCCCCTGAGACCTCTTGCATGAGTCCTCTGTACCTAGAGTCACCACAATTTTGGAACACCAATCTGGGACAGTTGAATTTACTACTGGGTTAGTGGGTAGACAATTTGAACTCGGCAGGCCTGCCTTTTGCTCCCCATGCTCTGACCCCTTCACCGCCCCCCACCCCCCCGCCTGCTACCAGGAGAGTAACCTTGCAGTCCGGCCAGTTGTATTCCTCAAACACGGCCTCATAGTCCTCTACAGCCCCGTCCGAGATCAGCATGATGGCCTGGTTGCAGAGGCTTCCTTGCCTGGCCTCTTGGAACTGTGCAGGGGAGGGGTGGCTCCATGACTACAGGCTAGAAGCTGCCTTCCCCACACCTCCAGGTGGTCCCCCACCCCTCCATTCTCCCTTGGCTTCCTCAAGGGCAGTACCTGCTTCAGGATCTGGAAGGCTTCCCTCAGGGCTTGGTCCACGACCCCTACCCCTTTAACCATCAGGTCATCTACCAGCTGTTTGAAATGCTATTGTAGGTAAGAAACCAGAGTCATGTCAATGGATCCAGTTGGCCAGGGACTTGATTTCAGAGGCTATTTGGAGCTAGTTTCCCAGAAGGATATTATGGTTGGACTCCCACATCAGATGCTCTCAAATGCCCCCAAGATAAACTGAGAGTGTGAGTGGCTGGGCACAAATCTATCCCTGCTACTGGAAGGAAGTGCCAGTGTGGATCCAACCAGAGTGAGGAGGGCAGCCCAGACCAGTGCCCAGGCTCCCAGGTCCCCAGCAGTCTCAGCATCCAAGCTCTTCCTCCAATGGTATGGAGATGGCCAGGGTCTCCAACTTAAAGCTGGAATTCAGAGGAAGCCACACCTAAATTCCCCAGACACAGAGGGAAGGATCTCTCCCTTGGCAAGGACTTGGAAAGTCCTTGGAAAGGGACTCAACAGAGTGGATTTGAATTTCTCCTCCTTCTGAGGAAGCTCCTCATGAAAATTGCCATAGTGAAAAGGCCCAGTGGGAAGCAAAGGGGAAAACTGAGTGCTGGCTAGTCCACAGAATAACAAACCAGTCCTGGAGAAGCAACATTTTCCCAGATGGGAGGTATCTCTTTACCTACTATTCACTGTGATAGGCAGGCAGCGTAATCATGGGGGCAATTTCCTGAGTGTATTTGTGTGGGTAACTGCAGATGGGCTTTGCCCCTTTCCAAGTGCCATGGGAGTGAGGGAAAGGAGCTGTCATGCACCCAGGAGCTGGGTGCATATAGGAGAAAATAGATGACTCCTACCATTCTAAGCTGAATAGGGACTCCAAAGCATTAGGCACTCACCTGATGTGGAAACTCACCTCACGGTTGTCTCGATGGGCCTGAACAAGAATCCCTTTGAAACAAGGTTCGACGTAATGGATGTAGTCATTGTACTGCAGTTGCAGAGGGCAGAGGGGAGGGGGAAACAGACAGGGTCCATTTAGAAAGTCAGGGCCCAGTGATGAAGCTCAGACAACTCACCAGGGGGTCAGGGCTGGGGTCACCCAGGCATCTGTGTATATTATCTTGTGGAACCCTATGTTACAGGCAATTTTTCTAAATACAGAGGTGAGAGTGCAGAGAATAGCAGGGCCTTCGCTCTAAAAATTCTCCCTCAAGTTCCGGTCTTGGTTCATTTTCTCAGGTGGCTGAGTCATGCCTCTCTCCTAGGGCACACAGAGAACTGCAGGTTACTGAGAGAATTCCACTGGTCTCTGCTGCCAAGACCAGACCAAATGCCTTCCATGGGACTCCCAGAGCCCTCCAAGTGCAGACCCCTCCCCAGTGCCTGGGTGCAGGGATTAGAAACTGTGCTACTTTTTCTCTTTTCTGTGTATTTATGAAGAGGGTCCTTTAGGTATTGACAGGCTCTGAGGGAGGTACATCTCTACTCTTGTGTGGGGGTGAGACCTGTTCCTGTAGCAGTGCTGTCTCTGCTACAGATCAGGAACAGGGATGGGTTAGCAGCAGAGATGGGGTACATGGGGTCCAGGAGTGATGTGGGTGGTTAAGTGATGCAGGCCTCAGGGAGAAGCTCAGGGATGAGGGGGCCATTCCCTTCTCCCCAGGGTGGCCATTTTAAAGTTAGACCATTTTGCTTCGATATTTCTTTATGAGGTAAATAAATCCCACTAAAGATAATAATTTCAGCCATGACACAGGCTAGTGGAGGAAAGTCTTAAATCAGATAGCCTTCAAAATGGTACCCCAGGTGGCTGTCAGCTCTGCCTCTGTGGAGGACTATGCTGTCTCTTCATGCCCCTCCTCTCTCATTGCATTTGAAAGCATTCTCCTAACTTGTCCCATTTTCCTCCTGCTCTCTCCCCCAAAATTTACCTGTATGGGGGCAGGCAGAACTAGGAAGAGTTGCTGTGGAAGCAAGACCAGGATTTGTTGGTCCTGTCTAGGTGTCCTACTACTTTCTCCTTTCTCCTGATGTGTCTGGATTTGGAATAAAGGGAGTGGGAAAACTGAGATTGATGCAAAGCAGGAGCCCAGGGATCACTTGTCCTACAGCAGAATGCAGAGGCTGTTCAGAGATGGGCACTGGTCAAGAAGAGCACATGGATGGGATAAATCAGGCTCAAGGCCAGTGCTTCTTAATCTTTGTTACATCCCAGATTTATCTGAATTAATGAACTCTATGGACCCAGAAAAATGAACATACATATAATTTCAGAAACTCTACGGACCTCTTGCAGTCCACCCCTCGTCTGACCCTAGAGTAGGAGCCCAAGCTACAGAGGAATTATTCTACAGCATGAAGCATTGTGTGTTTGTAGGTACCCATCATTCCAGTGCAGGCAGCAGAAGTTTTTTAAAAACAAGGGAGAGCTATTCAAGAGTAGAAAGGCACATTTACCGCAATGATATTAACAAAGTCATTCTCTCCCAGTGTGTCCAAGATGGTGGAGATAGTGTGCTTGGCAATTGTCATCCGCAGCCCCTTCATGCTGCCACTTGTGTCCAGCACAATCACTATGTCCTTGGGAGAAGTGGCAGCTTGAATGTACCTTTAGCAGAAAGAAAGGGGCAGGTCAATTATGGGAAGATTAGAGCCAGAGCAACCACCCAACCTAGTCTCATTATTTCTATTTGTATTTAGTTTAGGTAGGTGCCTCATTGATGCTGGGTTATATCATGTTCCATAACTACTTAGCATAGTTCCAAAATCATTTGGGAACAACGGCTGGTCATGTGCTCATCTAATGGGCCTGTCAGGTGAGAGAAAAGTCAAGTTCTGCTGGTAACCTTATCCTCCATGTTTTGAACCAGCCAGGATCCTGGAAGGGTAGGCAGCAGAAAGGGAGACAAGTGGGTTCCATCCTCAGATTCTGTTACAAATCTGCCTGAGGAGGGGTGTGGAAGGAGAGGAGAGCCTGGCAGAGGGTGGATTTGGAGACAGCCCAGTGTCCTGGAGGAGCTGAGGGGCAGGAAAGACAAATGTGATTGGTTGGGCAGCAAGGACAGCCATGACAAGAAGGAAGACAGCTTCTTCCTGCTCTTGTGTTGGGTTAAGGTTCTACACACCTGAGACCCTTGGACTGGGGGGCAGAGACTGGAGGAGAATGACACAAGACTCAAGGTGTATGAGATGAATGCCAGCACCAGAGACCTCTCCCTAGGAGCTCTTACCAGCCACGGTTCCGGCAGTCGAAGGTGATGACTCCATTCTCATCAGGCGTCCATTTGATGCCTGGGGAAACAAAGACTAATTCTTTCACTGCCTCAGTGAGTCTGGTCCAGAGCCCCTGGAATGCCATGACCCCCAGGGAAGGCCAGCCATGGACCTGCGCAGCAGGGTCTAGAGCACCCTGTAAAGGGAGGGAACAGGCAAGGGGGAGGCTGGCTTGATGGAGGGGTACTCACCACCCGCACTCCTCAGATTCAGAGTTGGGGTTACTTTCACAGTAGGACTCCTATATGCTGTGTGCAAGACTCATTTATGAACTAAACTTCACATTCAGTTGTGGAGGGGGAAGCTTCAGGAAGGCATAACTTTTAACATCCCTTACCATCTGGCAAAAGCATAGACAGAGTATTGAGAGACCCAGGTGCTCTGACTCCTAGCCCACCTGACTCCAGTCAGGTTGTCTGTTAGTGCTCACAGTCCCTCTTGTTAGCTGGCTGGGAGAAATGATGGGGCCACAAGACTATAAATTCCTTATAGTACATGCACACCTTGTTTTATTGCCCCTGCTTTATGGCATTTCAAAGGTGCTGCATTATTTACAAACTGAAGGCAAGGCCCTTCATCAGCCTACATATTAGGACTTGCTCTATTGAGAAACTCATTGCGGTGGTCTGGAACTGAACCTGCAATATCTCCAAGGTCTGCCTATACCTGGCACTGTGTCTGACATAGCACTGAAAAGACTTGATTGTTAAATATTTATCATATGAATGAAACAACAAATACATGAGTATAAAAGATCTTACCTTGACCCACTAGCAGACTGCTTGGGCAGATTTTGTTCTATTCATCTAATTAAACATTGGGATAAATGTGCACAAAGCACAGGTAACACTGACATGCTCCATGATAGCATCCCTATTTAAAAATAGTGATTGGGAAGAGTGGATTCACAATAAGATATTAAAAATAATAGGTGCAATTATATTATTCTGTGTTTGGGCTAGAAAAATAAAACAAAACAAAACTGTGGACATATCATGAATGTCTAGAAGCTCTAAGGAATCTTTTTATTCCACAGCAATTAGACTTCAGATGAGATATACACCTTGAGGCATTGCTGGTCTGTCAAAGGGAGGAGAAGTTTGCAAGAATCAGATCATACTACCAAAACCAAACAACTGGAGGCAGAGTTCCAAAAGGGAGGGGCAGGGGCCAGAAGAATGAGGAGGCACAGGCTGGCAGGGGAAACAGGACAGAGCCATGGGCAGAGCTGTGTCCAGGAAGCCTGAGTAGCATGGCTCTGCCATCAACCTGCAGCTGCTAGTGAGCAATAGAGTTTCTTAAGGACACATTCCCATGGCAGCATGATTGTGGGGAATTTGACCCTTTAACAATAACAAGAAACAGAAAGTAAGTCTGAGGTTCTGGGCTCTGAACCAGAACCTTGAAAGAGGGCTTTGGTGGTTCTGGTTGGGGGTACCCTCGACTCCAACAAGAAATAGAAGTGACCCTCTTGAAGGGGAGCTTTTCCAAGTCAGACCTGTAGGGTTCCCACAGATTATAAGCAGCATGGCCTCACAAACAGAGATTATCAATATGCTGGAAACAGGCCCCTATGAGTGAGAGGCAGCAGCAGCAAGAACCACCACATGTAGCCACATGTAGCTATCCTTCTATGGATTACAGGTGTTGGAACTACCAAATACAAAATGTAGGATAGCTATGTTGGAGAAATCACAAGAAAAAATACACAACAAGAAATTATTAGAAACAAGGAAACAGCCTTTTAAATACGCAATTTTTGTAAATGAAGAAAAGGTTAAACAAATAAATGCATAGTGGATTATTCACAGGTAAAGAAAAAAATTCAATCAACAAAACAAACAAGCAAGCAAAATACAACCAGAGACATTGAAATAAAGAGCAAACTGACAGTAACCAGAGGGGAGGGAAGGGAGATGACAGGGGAAAGATGGGGAAGGGTCATCAAGGAACATGTGTAAAGGACACATGGACAAAGCCAAAGGGGGCAGGATTGAGGGTGGGAGGTGGGGGTAGGTGGGGCTGGGGAGTGTGGTGGTGGGAAAATAGAGACAACTGTACTTGAACAACAACAAAATGATTTTAAGAAAAAAATTAGGCATTTGAAGGATTTGTCCAGAATCCTGTAGAAGCTAAAATAAGGTTTAATAAATTTCTTACTGGAGACATAGAAAGAGAAAAGGGAGAGCACAAGGAAACACCATGGTTACAAAAACAGTGAGAGCAAATGTTCTGGAACTGATAAAAATATGAACCCGCAGATCCAGGAAGCACAGTATATCCAACAGGATTAATAAAAAGATACCCACTTGCACACACATAATGGTGAAGCTGCAGAACTCCAAAGGGAAATAAATAAATAAAGACCTTAAAAGCAGCCAGAAAAGCTAGAACATTTTCTTTCACAGGAAAAGCAGTTGAACTAATAGCAGATTTTCTCAATATCAGTGGAAGCCAGAAAGCAGTAGAACAAAGTTTTAAGGTCTTGAGAGAAACTAATTGTTAATTTAGAAATGCATATCCAGCAGAACTGTCACTCCAGAATGAGGGTAGAAGACTGCAGTGTTGTTTTCTGAATTCTTCTTGGGGTGTCCGTTCCCCTGAGACGTTATTTACTGTAACCTGTTTCTCAGGGGTGTGTCACCAAATGGAGGCTTAGTCAGTCACTTGTCTCCAACAAAAAAGAAATAGGATTTGGCCTTTTCTGCTTAAATAGGATGACAATAGGAAATCATCTGTGTAGCTTGCAAAAATAAAAAAGAATACATTCAAAATTTTGAAAAAAGATGAGGATAATATAAAACATGTGTGGATAACACAAGCTGAAGCAGCTTAACACTAAGGGGACTACTACAAAGGAACCTCTGGAGATTTGCCTCAAGGAGGAGCAGGACCTTGGAAAGACAGCTGGTGGTGCTTGAAGGGGTTGTGGGCCAACAAAATGGTAACCAACAGTTAATACCAAACAAGCAATGTTTACATCAAATAACAGTCACAGTATCTAATTTGTAGGGATAAAAAGGGAAAATATTAGATGACAGTAGGATGGAAATCTGTGTGGAAGGAGATGCAAGTGGAAGACCGCTAAGTTCTTTTTTGATTTAAAAAAAGGGGGTAAAAATATTACCTAATTGTAATATCTTGTTAAATATTCCTGATGAGGGGTAATTACTAAAAGAATAAAAACAGAAGAATAAGTTCTAAATTGAGAGAAAGAAAAAGAGATAAATAACAGGAGATTTATCAAAAAAGGTTAATCATTAAAAAAGGTAAATAAGAAAAAGGAAACAAAAATAGAGTGACAAATACAAATTATAAAAATTAAAATAATCATGTTTAAATATAGCAATACAATAAATATAAATGTGCTGAACTTGACAACTAGTAAAAAGGATTGTAAGTTTGGATGAAAATCTAAAAGCTATAGGCTATTTTAAAAAGATATGACTAAAACAAAATGACATAGAAGTTTGGAAGTAAAATAATGAGAAAAATATATATCAGGATAATCAAGAGCATCTTGGTATTTCTTTGAATAACAGTGAAAACAGACTTAAAATACAAAGTGTTATAAGGGCTATCAAGGGTCAAGCAGATATAAAATCAGCAAAGATATAGAAAATTTAAACAGTGTAATTAACAAGCTTATCTTGAAACATATGCAGTTTTTCATTCCACAAGTAGAGCACACATATTCTTCTCAAATTCACATGGAATATTTATAAAACTTAATGACGTACTAGGCTACTAAACTAAATCTTAACTAATTTCATGTAATCAGTACCACATACGCCATATTCTCTGTCTACAAAGCAATTCAGTTAGAAATTTATCATAAAAACATAAATATAAAATCCTTGTATATTTAGATACTTTAAAACACACTTTTAAATAACCAAAAAAATAAATAAAAGATGAAATCACAGGAAAATTTAAAAATACTCCAAATGATAATTAAAATAGTACCATAACACTAAAAACATGGGTAATAAATTTCTGTGTATTAAATGACATGATCAACACAGTGAAAAGGAAATCCATGGAATGGGAGAAAATAAGTGCAAACAGTATATCTGATAAGAGGTTAATATCCACAATATATATAATTCCTACAACTCAATAACATAAAAACAAACAATCTAATTCAAAAATGAGCAAAGGACTTGAATAGACATTTCTCCCAAGAAGATATACAAATGGCCAAAAGCACATGAAAAGATGCTCAACATCACTAATTATTAGGTGAATGAAAATCAAAACCATGATGAAATACAACTCACATACAGTAGAATGGCTACTCTTAGAAACAAAACAAAACAGAACAAAATAACAATGATGTAGAGAAATTGGAACCCTTGGGCACTATTGATGGAAATGTAAATTGGCACAGTTACTATAGAAAACAGCATGGCTGTTCCTCCAAAATTAAAAACAAAATTACCATGTGATCCAGGAATTTTACTTCTCAGTACACCTCTAAAATAATTGAAGGCAAGGTCTCAAAAATGTATTTGTACATCCATACTCATAGTAGAATCATCCACAATAGCTAAAATGTGGATACAATTCAAGTATCCATTGACAGAAGAATGAATAAACAACATGTGGTATATCCATACAATGGAATAGTTTTCAGCTTTATAAAGGAGGAAAATTCTAACACATGCTACAACATGGATGAACCTTGAGGATCTTACACTAAGTTAAATCAGCCAGTCATAAAAAGACAAATACTGTAAGATTCTACTTATATGAGATATCTACAGTAGCCACATAATAGAGATAGAAGGGAGAATGGTGGTAGCCAGGGACTGGGAGAGGAGGGAGAGGTGAACTACTGTTTAATGTGTGCAGAGGTTCAGTTCTGCAAGGTGAAGAGAGTTCTGGAGGTGAATGGTGATGATGGCTGCACACCAAACGAATGGATTTAATGCCACTGAATCATATATTTGAAAATGGGTAAAATGGTAAAATTTATATGCATTTATCTATGATAATAAAAAACCACTACCAACAAAACTTGTGAAATGGAGCAAAAGTAGTTTCTAGGGGTAATATAGAGCCATAAATTCTTATTTTAGAATTAGATAAAGTCTATAAATTAAAGCTAAATGTTCAACTTAGTAAGTTAGGAGGAGAAACAACAGAATAAAAGAGAAAAAAGAAGATAAAGTTAAAGCTAAAATAGGTAAAATAAAAAACAGAGAAATAATACAAGGCAATCAAGGAAGACAAATGATGATTCCTGAAAAGACAACAAAATAGCGAAATCAGTAGTATATGGATAAAAAAATAAATAATAATACAAATAAAAGGGGGACATAATTATAGATACAGTGGAGATTTTAAAAATAATAAGAACAATAGTTTCATGGACATAGATTTGAAAACTCAGACAAATTGGGTGGATTCTTAGAAAAAGTACTTTATAAAATTAAGAAGAAACAGAAAGTCATATTTGTCTTGCAAGTATTAGATAAATCAAAGTGATAATTTAAAAATCTTCCCATAGAGAAAACATCATGTCTATATGGTTTTATAGAAGAAGTCCACCAGGCTTTCCAGGAAAATGTTATTCTAATCTTATATAAATACTCCCAGAAACCAGAAAAGGAGGGAATACTCCCCAGTTTACCCAATGAAGCTAGTATAATTTTGAAAACCAGACAAGGACAGTATGTAAAAAAAATTATAAGACTATTTTACTTAAAAATATAAATGCAATAATTCTAAACAGAATATTAGTAAACTAAATCCATCAATGCATAAAAGACTAGTATACTGCAATCAAATTAGGTTTACCATAGAAATGCAAGGGTGGGTTAATAGAAAAGTCAATAGATAATTAGGCAAAATATATAATAGGCACTTCACAGAAGAAGAAATACATACAACAAATGACATATAAAGAGATGCTCAGTTGCACAAGTGGTCAGAAAAATGCAATGCTGGATTATAGTGAAATATAATTTTATACTAAGAAATTATTAAAAAATTTAAAAGTTCACTGATACCCAGGGTTTGAGAAAATGTGGATCAGTTGGTTCTCTTATTTATTGTTGGTGAGAATATAATTGGTACAAGCTTTTTGGAAAACAATTTGGCATTTCCCTGTTATAGATGAACAGTCTTATGTCTTAGGATCTAGCAATTCCATTCCTTGGGGTATGCCCAAGAGAAACACTTATAAGACTGTTCATAATAATATTGTTAATCAAAGTAAAAAACAAAGAAGAAAAACAAAACTATAGACAACCAAGATGGGATCAGGAGGATGGATAAACTGATATATTGACCCCAAGGAATATGATACAGGAACAAAAATGATAAAATATAGCCATATGTGACAACCTAATGAATCTTGGTAGTATAATATTGAATGAAAGAGCAAGTTCTAAAAATCTATATCAGAAACTAGTTTTTAAAATTTTAAAAACAAGCAAAACAAAATAATATATTGTTTAAGCAGATGTATATGTGTAAACATAAGATAAAACTAAATAAATAAACAGATAGCCAAAAAATACAAATACAGTGATAAGGTCATAATTCAGCTATTATCCAATCAGTTGTGGGGATGAGGGAACTGAGGGGGAGAAGAGGGTGAGAGAGAGAAGGAGCATGTAAGTAAATAGAAATTGTTGGTAGTCTAGCTTTTGTGTTGGGCCTGCATGAACACATGGGGATAGCACACTGTGATCAAGATTATAGCAAACCCCACATTGTCTACCTGAGGCTGATATGTATCTGTAATGTGGGTGTGGGTGAGAAATACTCTCTCTACTAAGATGATGGCTCACACCTGGATTGTGTTGTTTGCACACAACTTGACTTCTCTGGAAACCTTGATGTGGCAAGAATATATACAGGAATTCTACTCTGGGGAAGACTTGAGAGAACTGTGGGTTGTCTTTGAGCATTTGAAGGGTTGTTACAAGGAAGAGGGATAAACTTGTTTACTGAGGCTCCAGAGAACAGAAGAACCAATGGCTAGTAGTGGGTTTGGACAGAGAAACAGGAAGGAGCAGGCTAACTAATAGAGGACTCATGAGCTCCAGGGTCACTCTGCGCTCCTAGAGAGAAGTTGGCTATTGCAGTCTGAGCACACAGAAGAGTCCTTTAGAACCTTTCTGATTTTCTGTCTCAGGAAAACAGAGCAATATCAAGACTTCGGACAGTGTGCTAAAACATAAAAATGGATTGGAGTAAAATATGGAGGTGAATTATTTTAAATGGGAAGTTAAAAAAAGAGGAGAACTTTCACAAACTTTGTGGTAGATTTTTTTTGTTTTATATTTTTATTAGTAGACAACAGAGCTTCCCTCCTCCTATTTGTTAGGTTGGTTACATATCATAACATGACCCATGGCATCATCTCTACGTTGCTACTGAACATGTTAAGTTGAATGTGTCCCATTTCTCCAATTAATATATAAACTTCTTAAGATCAAGAATTGCTTTTATCCTCCTTCGCATCTTCCACAATCATTTTCATAAGACAAGGGTTCAATGTGGGCATTTATTGGCTGATTACTATGGTGTTTTATTCATTCATTCATTCACTCATTCAACAACTCTTTGCTGAAAATGTGCATATCATGTTGTAAAGAGTATCAAAGTGTGGGTTGAAGGTGCCTTTGGATATCAGGGTCAACTCCATTTACCAGGGATCTGAGTGTCAAGGTCCATCTTTAATACCCCTATTGCCTTATTCCCAGAGAAAAAGCCCAGAGGACTTGAAGATGCCTGCCATGTCCTTACCTGGATAGATCCTAAAGAATCCAGTTGAGCTGCCAAAATATTGCCAGGTCAGTGTTGGGTCTCTTTGGAAGTTCTCCACAAAAACAGGGTTCAAAGTTTCAGACATGTAGACTCCATTTAAAATATCTGGGTCTAAAGGGTGAGATTATAGAAGGAATTGCAGGGGACACTAAATCAGGAGTAACAGTGACCAATTCTTTACCCACTAAAGACACCTGCTAGCACACATGCACATGCATGCACGTGCACACAAGCATGCACACACAGCCTGCAGTGATGTAGTTCATAACTTCCTTCTCACACCCTCATGTGGAGAGTCACACTCACACCCTCCCAGCTAGGAGCATGGAGCTGTCTCCCAGTCCAGGCTCCTGTGGAAGGATTCCCCATCCTCAGTCAGGGTGGTTGGAGAATCAGTTTACACCCTGACGAGCTTGTCAGGAAAATGGGAGTAAATCATTAACCCCCACCAGCACCACCCAACAACCATACCAGGCCATGGGGCAGGGACTACCTTTGTTGTACACGTTGGTGGGCAGCTGCACACTACTGAGAGACGTGTTCACCATGAGGTTGCTGAAGTGTGCATTGGACTTGAGGACAAACTCAGCCCCCAGCTCCACGTATTTGCCATTCGCATCCCTCTCGTTGATCAGGACTGAGTTGTAATAGTCAAACTATGGCAGAGGAGAATGGCGGACAGAGACAGTGAAGACAGGGTCCCACCAAGTGAGCCAGAGAAAGAGGAATGATGTGATCAGAAGACTCAGATGGGAGAGACGTCAGACGGACTGACAGCTTCTACACAAGCTTTGTCTGTGGGGTATTCAGGCAATGACTCAGAATTTGGGGCAAATACGTGTCCAGATAATTGGAGCAGATGGTCGATTTGATTGTGTTTTGATGTAAATTGTCTGGATTATTGCTCAGTTCTCCACTTTATCATGTATGGACACAACCAGAGATGGAGACAGAGACATCAGACAGATTCCAGGAGAGACAAAGACAGAAGCAGCTTTGTCAGCACCACCAGCTCCTTCAGTGCAGCAAGACTCAGAGGGACTCAGATGGTGCCCCGAGAAGTGAGGCCCTCTCTCTTTAACTGTGTGTGGACTGGGTGCCCATGTCCCCTGAGGAGCCAGCAGTCTGCTCTCTGCTCTTACACAGTGTTGCATCTGCTTGGATTACCACCTTGGAGCCATAATCAGACTCTCTTCCCCACTTTCTCCATACCACATGGTTCACACTTGAAGAGCACCCTCAGTGAACATCCTCGGTGAGCACCCTCAGTCCCCACCCCCACCATGTCCTGCCCATGGTATGACATGCCTGTTGTGAAACAGTGCTGCCACGAATCCACGTCTGCCCCTCCCCAGCTCAAAGCCTTCCATATGTGCCTTTCAGGCTGAATAAAGGCCAGAGTTCTACCTTTATCACAGTCACTTTCTGCTTCACCATCCCCTGGACATACAGAACTGACTGCTGGCAATTTCCTCAATCTTGGGTATTTATTATTTCTTTTCACCCAGCTTAGAAACCCCTTCTTCATGCCTTCAGCTGCTCAACTCCCCCTCAACCTGAGAGAGCCCAGAGGCTACTCTGTCTGAGAGACTTTCTGAGCTCCTCCTCTTCCTTTCTGCATTGTGGGAACACCTGACCACCTGTATGGGCACATTATAGGCCTCATGCTAGAGTTATTTGGTCTATGAGCTTCTTGACTTTATCTGGGCAGAGGCTAGCATGTTGCATTGGGTGATAAATGACTCTAGAAAGGTGGATTGCCACTCTACATGCCCAGCCCCAGGGTTTGGTTGCTGTCTCACCTACCTGGCCCATAAATCCCTTGTCAAAAGACTCTGAAGCATTTCGGAATCAAATTATTATAGGTTCATACAAATCCTGAGCACATTAAAAGACAGTGCTGCACTCCCCCATGCCCACTCTCCATATCCTGTACTCAGGTGACACTGTCTGTTGCTGGGAGCTCTAGAAGCAATAGCACTCACCACCAGAGATTTGTTGAACTCATGATTCAGGTCAGCCTCTTCAGTGGCCTCTACCAGATTCTGAGGGACAGGAACACAAAGGGGAGAATCAATGAGCCAAAGGAAGCCAGTGGTCCTCAATTCCACTCCTAAAAGTATACCTGAGAGAACTGAAAACAGGGACTCAAACAACAGCTTGTGCATAAATGTTCACAGCAGCACTATTCACACTAGCCAAAAGGTAACTGCTTATTTACCAGTGGAAGAAGCCAGTCTGAAAAGGCTATCTGCTGCCTGATTCTAACCACATGACATTGTAGAGGAGGCAAAACTATGGAGAGAGTAAAACATCCCTGGTTGCCAGACATTAGTGGGGATGGAGGGATGAATAGGTGGAAAACAGGATTTTTAGAATAGTGGAACTATTCTGTGTGATCTCAGATGGTTGATGCATGTCATTATGTGTATGTCAAAACCCACAGAATGTACATCAAGAGTGAACTCTAATGTAAACTATGAATCTTGGGTGACAAAGATGTGCCAATGTAGTTCATCTGTTGCATCAATGTACCACTCTGGCAGGGGTTGTTGATAGTTGGGGAGGTTGTGTGTTTGTGAGAGCAGGAGCTATACAGGAACTCTCTGTACTTTCTTCACAATTTTTCTAAGAACCTAAAAGTGCTCTGAAAATAACCTATTTAAGTGTGTGTGTAAATGCATTTTTGTCATGTTAAAGTGTGCAACCCAGTGGCATTAGGACCATTTACAATATCATAAAACTATCACTATCTAATTTCTGAACTTTTTATCACCCCCAAAGAAAACCCTGTATCTACTAAACAATCACTCACATTCCTCTCTCTCCCTGGCTCCTGGCAACACCGATCTACTTTTTGTCAATGGATTTTTCCTATTCCAGATAGTTCACATAAATGGAATCATGCAGTATGTGACCTTTGTATCTGGAGTCTTTCACTGAGCATAATGTTTTCAAGGTTCATCTGTGTTTTTACATGTGTCAGAACTGCATTCCTTATCATGGCTGAGTAATATTCCATTTTATAGGTATCTCATTTTTTTCATCCCTTCATCAGTTGATGGACAGTTAGGTTGTTTCCACCTTTCAGCTGCTGAATATAAATATATGCAATTTTTATTGTCAATTATACCTCAATAAATATGGAGAAAAAAGAGGAGAAGACCTGAGGTCCTATTCTGGCTTTGTCAGGAAGAAGCCACTAAGCCTCTCTGAATCTGTAAATTGGGTGGGAGGGTCCTTACCTTCCCTGCTCCCAACCCCCAGTGCCTAGGATGTGATGAAGAAATTCCACAGGGCCAAACCAGGACTCAACTCAACAATTTGGAGCAAAAGGAAAAAATAAAAATTCAACCAGAACAAAATGAAGAAACAAGAATTCAAAAAAAAAATGAGGAGAGGCTTAGGAACCCCCAGGACAACTTTAAATGTTCCAACATTAGAATCATAGGGGTGCCAGAAGGCAAAGAGAAAGAGCTAGAAACTGAAAACATTTAAAAAAAATAATGAAGGAGGACTTCCCCAATCTGGCACAGGAAATAGATTTCCAGGAAGTCCAGGAAGCTCAGAGAGTCTCAAGGAACTTGGACCCAAGGAAGCACACACCAAGGCACATCATAATTACAGTAGCCAAGATTGAAGATAAGGAGAGACTCTTAAAAGAAGCAAGAGAAAAGGAGGCAGTTACCTACAAAGGAGTTCCCATAAGACTCTCAGCTGATTTATCAAAAGAAACCTTGCAGGAAAGAGGGGGCTGGAAAGAAAAATTCCAAATCAGGAAAGGCAAGGACCTACATCCAAAATTGCTCTATCCAGCAAAGCTATCATTTAGAATGGAAGGGCAGATAAAGTGCTTCCCAGATAAGATCAAGTTAAAGGAGTTCATCATCACCAAGCCCTTATTATATGAAATGTTAAAGGGATTTATCTAAGAAAAAGAAGATGATCAAAAATATGAATGGTAAAAGGACAATAAATTCACAACTATCAACAACCAAACCTAAAAAAACAAAAACAAAAACAAACTCAGCAAATAAGCAGAACAGAAACAGATTCACAGAAATAGTGATCACATGGAGAGTTATCAGCGGAGAGGGAAAGGGGGGAGAATGGGGAAAAGGTACAGGGAGTAAGAAGCATAGATGGTAGGTAGAAGATAGACAGGGGGAGGTTAAGAATAGTATAGAAAATGGAGAAGCCAAAGAACTATATGCATGACCCATGAACATGAACTAAGGTGGAGGGGAATGCTGGTGGGAAGGGGGCTGCAGGGAGGAGGAGGATAAAGGAGAGAAAAAAATAGGGCAACTGTAATAGCATAGTCAATAAAACATACTTTAAAAAAGAACATTCCACAGAGCCAAGGTTATTTTAGTGCTGCTTTGCAGTAAATTTCCCCATGGGCATTCCCATAGAAGGGTCAATGGCTGTGGCTTGCCAGGGAACCTTGGCAAGGAACAGGGACTGGTGCTTGAAGAAGGTCTACAGAGCAAGCGCTGGTTTGATTGGGTTTCCTAGGTTGAAGCTGTGGGAAAGACACAGCACAGCTGGAGCCCCTGGGAGCCCAGAGCCAGGCCTCTGGGAGTGGGCCAGGACTACTATGCTCTGGCACCTCAGGGACCAGCCCCTGCAATGTGTGTTCATGCATTCCACTGTCTGTGCTCTTCCCAGGAAGGCAGTTTCCACAGCATTGCAAATTGAAAGAGGTAGGCGGTACTGCTGTGCTATTTGTGTGTGAGGTCAGTGTCCCCATGCTATGGTCCAGAATGGGCTCTCTAAGTCCCCTGGTATCTTCTCAGTGGTTCCTCATGCTAAGACCCCTTACCCCTAAGCTTGAATAAAAAAGACTGCAAGTTGTGAGAGGGGACTCAAGAGTTTGAAAATTTTAGTTTAAGGTAAATAGTTAATAAGCCTAATAGGTAATACATATGTCAAAGTTATTGTTTCAGGAACACAGATAAGGCCCATCACTTCTGAGAGAGATAGCCAACCTCCTGGAGCACCACTAAAGATTACCGCCTGAGGAACAAGTATAGGCATCTGGGCCATTGTGTTCCAGAGAGAGACAGAGGACCATCTGCTCCGGGGAACAGCTAACTGCCCAGGGCGAGAATACTGTGGATTTTTAAATCTAATTTTCCCTGAATTTCAAAACCTCTTATTGCACTTTCTTCTCTGCTATAAAAGGCTGGCTTGGAATAAAATGTAACATGGTCCATTAGGGTATGAACCCACCTTCTCAGATCAGTGGCCATCTGAATAAATCGTTTATACAGATTCAATCCCTGTCTCTGTTTATTGGGTTTGGTATGTGACAGGCTGCATGAATGCTGGTCTTTCCCAGTTTCAGTTATGTAGGAAGGGTGGCTCCAGCTTTTCCTACCAGATGGTGCTTTTGATGGGGGTCATGGGAGACAGGCAAGCAAACTGGCCAGGCTTCAGATTCCATTCCCCACGCTTCCTGCCCTTGGCACTGGCCTCAGCCTCCCCTCCAACAGTTTACTGCTCTCCTCTGGCTCCCCAGATAAAACTTTTGGGGGGACAACATTGGTTTTAGATGGCCAGATTTCTGGCTGGGTGGAGCAGGAACTATGTCTTTCCAATCATCCAGGTCCCCATCACACCCCTGTAGGCAGGCACTTCATGCCAGGGAAGTGACTGTTGTTTCATCTAGGTCAAGCCAGGCTTGGTGGATATGCCACAGTGGATGATCTGAGTAGGGTGCCCATCACTGTAAGCACCTATGCTGTCTGGGAAGCCCTCGGAGCACTTCGGTGCCATGAAGTGTGGGCCCATATAGTGGGAAGGGACAGGGTAGGGGGGTGAGTAGGGGAAGAAAAAAGGAGGAGGAGAGGAGGGAGCTTTATTTTGTATGTTCTCTATACCTCTATACTCCCACTTATCCACCATTTATCCATGCACCACCCATCCACCCATCCATCTATCTACTCACCCACTCACCCATTCACCTGCTCATTCATTCAGCAGGTGACTCCTCAGCCCTCATTTTGACCTGCTCCACCCTAGTCACTGAATACAATGTCATGATGCAGGGTCCCTCCTGACACTGCAGGCTGATTCTACTGCATAGGACTCTTCGGTAAGGCAGAGCTCCAATCCCAACCCTCTTCTCTCCCCTTGCTTCCTATTATTTCCTCCTTTACAAGGACCTTTTGGCTCATAGGGATTCAAAGCTGATACTTGTGAGGCAAGAAAAGGATGAGGTGGGTGAGAGGATGCAGGGTCATGATGTCAGTTAGGGTCCTTTTGATGTGACAGAGGTTAGGGTGGGTTCCCCCCCCGCAGATAATAGGACCTGGAGCACCTTTACAGCCTCCACCTTCCTGTGTAGCATGGTCTCCATGTCCTCTGAGAACTTCCTCACCAGCTCCAATCCATCCACCTCCTGGATCCTCAGACTGGGCTCCACATCCTTGTATTTCTGTTAGAGGAAATGTGGGAGAGATGGGCACCTGTCATCTGGCATCAGGATGTGTGGTATCTAATTACATGTGGCCTCCATTCTCTCAACTAGCACACTCACACTATGGGGCCTTATTTACTTGACCAGAGGCAAAGACAGACCCTCATCTCCTCACAGAATCTCTCCCACTAACCATCATAGCTGCCTCTTATCAAATGTCCTCTCCGTTCCAGGGGCTCTGGGCACATTCGGTAGTATCCTGAGGAGAGAGTAGACTGGGGCTCAGGTCAACAAACTTGACCAGTCACACAGCCAGGTCTCTGAGACTTCCCTGGGGATGCTCACGTGGATTGTAATACCTCCTTGAGCATCATTTATCTTTCCCCCACAATCCCTGATGCACATTGTGTCCACACCAAGCTTAGCATCAACAGGTATTGATGCCACCTGACAAACTGCCAGGGAGCCTGGAAGAGCTCAGAGAGCTGGGTTCAGATTCACTCTCCAGGCTGAGTGTGCATATCACCAATGTCTAATGGCCCAGTTCACCAACTTACTGGCCATGTGACCTTAGACAAGGTAATTAGTCAGTTTTCTCAACTGCAAGATGTGACATTGGCATGGCTTTAGAGAATGTTCTAGAATGCATAGACTTAGAGAACGTTTTTACCCAAAACAGTCACATAATTTTGCTCTAACTTTCTCACCTGGGGTTAGAGGGCACAAATGAGAACACTGAATGAAACACTGCTTTGCAAAGTCAGAGTGTGGTGTGAGTGGCAAGTTGGTCTGAGCTGTCTTTATTACAATGGCCTATGGAGGCACAGGACAGGGGGCTCAGCCTGGCTTCTCCTGGTTCCCCAGTGAACTGTGGGGAAGGGGATACAGGCAGGGGCTGCATGATGTTTGTGTGCAGGCATAAAAGCTTGAAAGTTGCTTTTGGCATCATTTAGAAAATTAAGTTGTGAGGAGAATTAAATCCTGAATATAAAGCTCTTAGCAAATGGTAATAATTGAGAATGGCAAGCTATTCTTAAAACTGGTCTGGGAATTATAAATATCAGAAGATGTTTATTATCTAGTAAGAGGACAGCTACGTGTTAATCTGCTCTAAAGCAATTATTGGTAAAGGTAGGGGCTGGTGCATGGTATTTTCCATTGGGCCCTGTGTCCTACTCAGGAGCCAAGCACGGGCTCAGACCTCTGCTAGGGTCCACGTGGGCTCTGCAGCCCCCCAGGCCTGGCTGGAGCACCTGAGAACTAGATATATGGAAGCTCCCTCTGCAGAGGTCACAGACCAGCTTGCTTGCTTGTCCTGCCCAAGGAGCTCCTGAAGGACTTTCCCATAGTGGGCTGAAGCCCCTCTTACCCTTTCTCCTTCCTCCTGTCCCCTTTCACAGGTGTCAGGTCTGCATCCCAGTCTGCTCACTCCTGCTTTCTCACCCCTCTGCACTTCACAGCTCCTCCCCCAATAAATCTCCTGTCTGTCCATTCCAGCTTAACCTCTACTTCCAGGGGTCTGAACTGACACCATGCCCTTGACCACCCTACAGATTGCTGTGACTTGGAAAATTCTTCCCCTGTGTGAGTCTTAGTTTCCCATCTGAAAATGAGGGGAGTGGATTAGTGATCTCTAAGTCCCTTCACAGCATGGGCATTCAGGGATTCAAGGTCTATGCTCCTTTCCCTGGAAGGGCTCTCTGGCTAACTGCCCTCTGACCCTACGGGCTCCTGGGAAAGGGTTACTGACCTTCTGCAGCAAGAGGGAGCCTGAGTATTTGGTCACGGTGTCATACAGGTCCCCGCCAAAGGTGTCTGCCCACAGCTTCACCCTGTGGGGCCATGAAGGTATATGTGTATATGCACATGCACACACACACATAGAGACATACATATAGATATACATGAACATACAAAACAAGTGTTTACATTCATAGACATCCTCTGATGCACACATGCACAAATACAGAGACAAACATGATACATAGAGGCTTGTGCACTAATGTGCATACACTCATGTACACATACAAACACATACACACTGACATACACTGAGAAAAACACACACAGAGAACTGCTGCCCTTCTTGGCCAGAGCAGGGGACTCCAGGGACCCACCAAGGGCTCAGCAACTGCACTGAGTATGCTGAATACCCTTGGCTGGGTCTCCTGCTGAGGAATAGGGGCAGGGGCTGATGAGCTAGACAAAACCCTGATCACACGCATCTGAAGCCTGTGGACTATGGTTGGAGAATGGAAAACAGAGGAGGGAAAGGGGCTGTGGACAGGCCCAGCACAGGGCAGAGAGGACCCTGAGGACAGACACAGGACCTGCCTGGGCACAGCAGCAGCTTCTCAGTGAGTCCCTCCCTCTCTAGTGTTCCCTGCTCAAGGTCATTGTAGCCTGCTGCATCGTCTGTTGAAACCTCAGAGAGAGCATGAAGCACAGAGGCAGAGGAAAAGGCTCTGAGCTGCTTCTGCTTCTGCTGAGGGCAGGCCAGGCAGTGAGGGCCCGAGAGGCAGCCTTGGCAGAATCTCCGACCTCTTGTCCGTCCCCAGAAGGACATCAAAACCTCACCATCTGGACAGGCTGGTGGGGTTGTGGGGGTAGTCACAGGCTGTATTTAAGCCTCTCCAACTGGAGCAAAGAGGATTTGCCCACATGATCATTTTGATATCAGCATTTATTCAGTCACTCATCCACTATCTGTTAATGTCCTAATGTTCAGCCTTGTACATAGTGTAAAATCTTCCATCAGAGGGCTGTCCTTTCATATACAGATAGACTAATAGGTGTTTGAAGGGACACCCATGTTTAGTGTGATGAATAGATTTGGAAGAGCTCGAGGGAGACAAACATTACTTCTAGGTTTCTAGTTTGGGTGACTGAGCTGATGGTGGTGTTATTAAATAAAATTAAGAATATCAGGAAGATCGTGGAAGCAAGTTGGGGAGGGTGGAAGGTGATGAGTGTAGCTTGGGATATGTAGAATGTGAAGATTCTGTTGCAGGCCTATGTTGTAGAGTGATGTTGGGCAGGTTGTGTGTTGTCCAACTCTAGAAAGCAACAATTGCTCTGTATCTTGAAAGACACAAACTTGAATTTAAAGCCTTTCATGATATTAAGAAAGAGCTGTTCATAGGCAATGGATACATGAGTCTAATAGGTAGAGGAAGGGCTAAGAGTCATTAGTACGGGGGTGGCAGTGGAAATTCTGAGTAGATGGGCTCACTCAAGGACTGCGTGTGTAGAATGAGAAGGTCTGAGTGGGCAACAAGCCCTGGAGAACACCAACAATCTCAGGGGCAGGCAGAGGGAAAGGGACACTTGAGAAAGAGAGGTAATAGATGTCCAAGGAGACCCAGGAGAACAGTGTTATGGAAGTTGAGGCATTGAGACTCAAGAGAAAGGGAGAGGCTACTGGATTGGGCAATGAGGGTCTTTGAGATTGGAGTGGGAACATATTTGGGTGGGCAGTAGAAGCCAGGGCAGACATTGGAGGCTGAGGGATGAGTGGCAGGATAATTCTATCTCTCAGCTTCACAGAGAGAAATGTGGGGTCTTTAGGGTGGGAAAGACTGAGAAGGATCCAGTGGGAAGGAGGAGATGGAGCAAGGTTCTTCATGGAGGCCCAGCTCCAAGGGAGTAGGCAGGTGCAGGTGTGAGTGTGTCAGGGGCCCTTAATTTCAGTGACTCTCTCTGGAGGTTTTTGTGCTGATGGTCCACCAAAGTTCTCCCCAGTCAAAGCCTGGATTCCATCCATCTTGAATTGGCACGCAGACCATTCCTAGAGTTTGCCTTCTACTATTAGTTGGTGTATATTCTAGGGATGAAAATTATTCTCAACGTCTTCCTCAACAATAGATAGTTTTACAGGCTTCTCTGGGTATAATAGTGGCATACAGGCCAGGCTGATTTGAGTTCAAATTACAGCACTTCCATTTACTTGCTACATGAACTTGGGAAGTCGCCTCAACTCCCTAGTTGCAGAATAGAGACACTGTTACCCACCTCACTGAATAGCTGTGTGGACTAAGGGTGTCTTTGTAAAGCACAACCAGATGGAAACAGTGCTGCTCAAATCCACTGATCAACAAAGCTCAACCAAAACATGTGTTGCTCTGGCACCCCATCCCCACTTCTGTTAACACATGAGGTTGACCGCTGGCTCTGATAGCCTGACTCTCATGCTGCACTTGAGTGGCTAGACTTAAATATGAACTAAGCAGGTAACCTCCTTTATTTAGGCTAGAGCACTTTGCTTCCCACCTTTATTGGAAAGTTCTTTAATAGAACCACCGGAACCAAGGACTAAAAACAGATACTCCCAGAGGGGTTACACAGTAATTTAAATTTATATGACTGATGTAAATGACAACTGTAAATGACTGATACCTGGCCTTTATGACAGGGTTTAGAATCAGGGCCTGGAAGGAGGTAGAAAGGAGTAGAAAGAGGAGACTGAGACCACTAAAGTCCAGTTTGACCTAGTCCCTGGTTGCATGAGCCATTTTGTTGATTTAAACTACTGTACGCTTTCAGAATGTTAAAATGAATTTCCTAACAAATCCTGGGGGGGGGGGCTGCAAGGATCCTTTTGAGCCAACACCACTCCCATTCCCAGTCACCTCATGTCAGCGATTATCTGGTAAGAAGCATCACCCTGCCTGTGCTTGAGATGCTGCTTGCCATCCTGGTGAGTGCTGACGATCAGGTCTGCTTAAAGCCATCAGGTGTTTGGGGATGGGCAGGTGGAGCTCCCCATTGGAAGAGAGGAGGGTGAAGAACAGGTTTTCAGAGCAAAAATGAGAGAGAGGGCCATCCAAGCACCCAGGGGAGAGACTGGAGGTAGATCGGAGGTGGGTAGGGCAGAAGATTGAGGTCTGCCAGGAGGAAGAAAAGGAGCAAGGAGTGAAAGGGTTTTATGGGGTGGGGACTGAATTGGATGCTTACATTTCCAGAGGAATCTTGGTCTGCCCTGATGTAGGGGACAGGGCAGTGCTGGACAGAAGCAGACTCAGGATGACTGCAGTCTTCCACAGCAAGGGCCCCAGGCCCCAGGGCATCCTGATGTAAGGGCAGCTGGGGGATGTGGACAACCTGGGAGGTCCAGGCATGCTGCTCCTGCTGGGGTCAGGGTGGGTGCAGAGGAGACAGGAGCCTCAGACCATGGGCTCTGTCTGCCTGTTACTTGCGATGCCCCCAAGCCTTCTGCTTTTAGAGTCCTAGCAAACCTGGGGTTCCTGGTTTATAGTCCAATCTTGGCTGCAATGCCTGGTGGGAGAAGGGGCTTTCTCTCTGTCCTGAAGATAACAGAGGAGACACCTTACCTGCCTAGCAGGCTTCCAGCAGAGGGGCTGATTGTGGCAAGGGAGGCTGTGACAAAATGAACACATTAATCCACTGGCCTCTACTCTAATCCCCCAGTTGACAGTAGGAAGGAGGGGGTAGCAGAAGGGATCTCAGCAGGATTACTCTGATTTCAGAAGACAGGGCTTGCCCAGTGCAGGGTCAGAGTGTACTTCCCCACTTTAAAGAGGCAGTCCTTGTGCACCCAAAGGGAGGAGGACACTGTGACACTAGCTTAGGATACCAGCTGATGTTTGCCCAGAGCTCCAATTTTCCAAGAGCTACAACAGATCCTCTCCTTAAACCTCTGAGTAACCCTGGCAGGTTCCTGTCATCCAGTCCTGTTTTCAGGGACTCTTGAGGCACAGGAAGGATTGGGGACAGAGTTGAGAGTCTAACTCTAGCTGATGTCTCCAGGCCTGCTGATTTTGGCCATGTGAACATCCTATGGATCCCCCAAATCCCGCATTGTACCTGCTTCTGGTTCTGGTCTAGGGGCACATTAGCCAGGAAGTTGATAATGCTTCAGGGTCTTTCCCTCTCAGCAACATGTTCTTAATATATGCAAAAGGAAGATTGACCACTACTGATTAAGACCTCTGTCTCTTTCTATTCCAGCTCTTCTCTGATTTCACCTCAGCTGGGTGATGTGTAGTGGCTGTGCACATTTTGGGGATCCAACTAAGAGAAAGATGCTTTGGGGAAGCATTTAATTAGGGCTTAGTGGGATATACTTATGTAGTTCAGTTACTTCCTTGTATAGCTAAGTTATCTCCAGTCATCCTGGTATGTAGAAACACTCTTATCACCCAAAGTGCTGACCAGCCTTGCACTAGGACACTCAGGTACAGCAATTCATTACCCTATGAATGTCCTACAGCACCCCCCCACTGGAAGTACATGGGAGGGGAGGAAAAATAAGGTTTGAAATACCCCGAGTCAGAAGCTAAGTCTGGAAGAGTCTTCCAGAGATCCAACAAATTAAATCGCCCACAGAGCACTTGATTGTCCAGCCAAATCAAGGTCTGGCCAAAACAGTTCTCTTCTGTTAGGAAAGCAGTCGATATTGAAGGTGGGTGATTATGAACATGCCATACATTGTCTTCTCTTCCCATGGGAATTACACAAAATGGAATTTGATCAAAATTCTTGTGTTTGTGGGTCCAAATTGGTGATAATATCACACAAGCAGTGTATATGACACCACAGTTTATTTATTCCATGTGTCAGAGTGCTTCTTAATCTACGTGATGCATCTCATCCTGACAAAATTTGCTGGTTCCAGCAAAATGGCCACCAACACAGAGAAATTTCTGAGGATACAAGTGTTCCAGTGACAGAACTCCTACATGTACCCATCAGGAAGTCAATGTTGGAGAATCAGAGGCATCTGGTTGCAGTTAGATGGCTCAATACAAGGTGGCAGTGATGTTTAAGTGTATTTGAATTGTTCCTATGAATGCCTTCATTTCAGATGCATTTTGCATATTTTTCAAGATTATAAATCATACCAAATTTAGAAAAAGTACTACAGAGGTGTGTGGAGCAATTAATGAAAAAAAACAATTATAATTTTTCTAGGTTTTATGATTTTTGTGGTATTCATCAACTTCTTAAAATTGTGGGGGGTGATTTTTAAATTATAAATAAATATTCACTTTTGTATCTATTTTTGTATTTGTAATTTGTATTCATTTTCTTTTATAGATGACCACATCCAGGTTGAGTGGCTCCCAACCCCCTAGAACCTGGCCCCTGTGCCTCACTGTAGCACCTGCTCATTAGAGCCACTGACTTACCCTGATGTGTTGAGTGCAGGAGCTGCTAAGAAAGCTCTTTCCCTGCTCATTGTACTCATTTCCCAGTGGCAGCAGTGGCCTAGATCCCACCCAGTCCCTTAACTACTTGGGAAGCCCTCTTAGCACTTGTAAAGAAAAATACTGATATTATAATGGTGAGTAAAGTAATATATGTCTTTTCAAAGACTGTTAAAGAATAAAAATTCAATCAAGTAAATTTGAAAATCTAATTACTTTCATTAAATGATTCATGAATTGGGTAACATCCTATTTCTGAGGAGTTGGACAAAATGGAAGGTTTTTATAGGCAGACTCTGGGTGGGACAAGAAAGTTATTAGTGGAAGAAAAGAAAAGATTGTTTCAGGCAAGGTTAACTCCCTTCAGGGAAAGGCAGGTGTCTTATCAGGCAGATTGCCTCAGCCTCCTTTGGGGATGACAGACCGTCTCATCTACATAGGCCAGAAAAGTCAGGACTAAAATTACATTTCTGGATAAGGTGAAACTGCACTTAGGTCAGGTAATAAGTTGAAGTTCAGTGTCATGGCTTTAGCACAAGTGACTCCATTTGGGGCCTGTGGTTTTCTCTTGAACAGCACTTACCAAAGTATTACACTTTACAAGTGTGCCCAAACCATTTCTACAGAGAAAAATATCTTTCTATGCATTTTATATACAGTGCTTTATATGTATAAACATATATATAAATGAAATGCTATATATGCATGCATTGTCAGCCTGGCTAATTATAGCATCTTAAGACAGTAGCCCCTCATACTGCTGCAAACTGTGAAACACTAGGGCCTGTGGCAGGAGTCAGGGAGGAGGTGGAGTGGGGGAGGACTTTACAGCTTAATACCTTCAGAAAAGAGATTTTATAGCAGAAATCAAATGAAGTGTGGGAACAGAGCCCAGAGCTAAGGGAGTTATCAATTCTTAAGAGAGACCTTTGAAATCCAAAACTTACAGCTCATCACTTAGTCTAGGCCAAGATGCTATATCATTCCTGCCAGTTAGGAATGGATCTATGTTGTGGCTTTTAGTTTTAAGGGCTTCGAGAGAAACAGTATTCCAACTTTCTCTTGGTCAGTGTTTCATCTCAAATCCCTCAGATGTAATCTAACCTGACCCGTGTTCCTAGGGTATCTCCTATGTGTCCATTTCTTACCAGGCACTGGGGACGCGACGCCTACAGCTGAAATGGAGATTGGATGTGATGCTTCAGATAAATACTCAAGGTCTGTCCAGGGGGGCTTACCTCAAAAAATAAAACAAAACAAAAACCACTCAGCTAAAGTAAGCTAAGTGCTATGAGAAAGGATTTGGCAGCACAGTGGAGGGGACAATTATCTATTCCCTTAGTGGGAAAAAGGGGAAGGACATTTCAGGGAAAGCTTCACAGTGAAAGAGACATTTGAATTCGGCTTTAAATAATGAATAGGAGTTCAGCAAATGAAGACTATTGAAGGAATAATTATAAGGGACAGATGGTACGAGGAACAAAAGTAGGAAACACTGGTCATGTTACAGTGTACATACCTTTTGGGGAATGCTGAGAATATCAGTGTCTTTTACTGCATCCTAAGCTATACTTAGTGGCTTAAAATAAAAGCGATTCTTTAGTTAGTTGATGAGTGTGTATATTGGGCAGGGCCCAGCAAGCAAGTCTCCTCTCCATTCCAGGCAGTGGCAGCAGGGGCCACCAGAGGACCTTCTCCCAGGATGGTTTGTTTACTCACAGGGCCAGTAGGCTAGTGCTGGCTGTGGGTTGGGACCTTGCTGGGCTAAGGCTGGGAGACTCCTCCACTGGGCTGCTTGGGTTTTCTCACAGCATGGTGGCTGGCCTCCCAGAGTTAGAATCCCAAGAGAATATAGAGGAAACTAGTGCCTCTTATGGGCTGCTTAGAAGTCACAGAGCATCACCTTGGCTATATTTCATTGACTAGCCAGGCTCCAATTTGGCCTGGACTAAAAAGAAGGAGGCACAGACCCTTCTTCTCAATGGGACAAGTGTCAGAATTTGCAGACATGTTTAAAAACTGCCACAGTGAGGATCATAGGGTTGGGAATAAGGGAAAATGGTGATGGTGGGAGGGTTGGGGTAAGGGCTGTGAGAAGGGAGCTTCAGGAAATAGAGTGGGGGGAATGTTAGGTAATACCTAGATGATAAAGAAATATTGTTGTAGACCACTCTGCCTGGTTTTAGGAATTGTATCTCTACCCCTTGTGGCTAAGGGCCAGGGACAACGTTTGGAATGTGAGCCGCAGGAGACAAAGCCTGTCTATGGTAGCAAAGGCTGCCTCAGTTTCCTCTCCCGGACCTCAAAGCTTGGTTGGAGGTCAATGACGGGTAAGACCCCTCACAGTGGGGGGCAACCTAAGCCAGACTTGATCACTTGGGAGGCCTTCATGGAAGGACTTGGAGGGTTGCAACAAAGAGCAATGGACTCTCACACACCCCCAGGAATGATGTTATACCTCCCAACACCACCCCCTGCTTTGACATGGCCCGAGTCCCCATGTTCTCTGGGAGAAGCGCTTCCTGGCTCTAATCCCCTTAAGCCTGAATACCTGTTGGGGAAAGGTACAGCTCCCTGCCTTGCTAGAGCATGTCCTGGGGGAAAATCTGGCATCACAAAGACTTGCTGATAAACCTGTGAAATATGCTCTGCTAAGAGTGCTTTCATTCATATGATAAGGGTTGGAGAGGAAATGAGTATGTCTCCCAAAGTTTCTGCAACTTTTTTCCTGATAGACACTGACTCAGACTAAGCCCTCAGATTTCTTTGAAATGTTATCTACTGTTTGATCCTTGCCTCCCTGTATTCCTGTGTATTACAACCCAATAAAAGGCTATGGAAGAGGGCACTCTGGGCCTTTTTCTCCTCAGAAAAACTGGTCGCTGCTGGCCTTTGTCTCCCCTGAGAAACTGGCCACTGCCCACTTCTCCTCCCTAAGCAGACCATGTCATACCTCGGCCATATTCACCCTTGTGTTTGTGGCACTTGGGGGCACTGGAGAGAAAGTCACCCCCACAAAATATATTACTTCTTTCTAAACTCTAACTTGAATATCACCTACTGCAATTCCACATCCATTGAAAAGTAGTGATTTATGAATGTGGCAGTACAGGGGATGGAGGGTGGGGGGAGAAAGGAACAGATGTAAAAGATATAAAAGAGTCTGCTATCTAAGCTAAGCTTCTTCATGCACAGATCACAAAGT